CAGGAAAGTCTGTTCCGTCTCCCAAACCTTATCACACACCCGGACCTCTGCGCCCCCCCCCAGTGCTTCACCCCCTTATCTGCCACTGTACAGACCCCCGCCCCTCTGCGCCCCCCTGCACAGCCCCCCACCCCATGGCACAGCCCCCCGCCCCACTGCGCCCCCCTGCACAGCCCCCCACCACCACCCTTCTCTGCCACTGCCCCATCCCATCGCCCCCGGCCCGGCCCGGCCCGGCGCTCACCAGTCGGCGGAGAGGCGCCGGCTCCCGATGTCCTCCTTGGCGGCCAGCAGCGCCAGGCGGTGCGTGTCCAGGTCCAGCCGGCTCATGGCTCAGCCCCGCTCCCCGCTCCCCGCTCGCTCTGCCGGGCCGGAAAGTTCCCGGCGAGGGAGCCCCGCGCCCGCCCCGCCTTGCCCGGCCCCGGTCCCAGCCCCAGCCCGCCGGGGAGGGAGGGACCCGGAGCCCTGCCCAGCTCCGGGAGGGCGGGAGAGAGAGGCCGGGCCGAGAGGCGCAAGGGTCGGGATGGGGCTGGGCGCGGAGGGGCGCCCCCGGGGGCAAGGGGGAGGCGCCGGAACAGACTGAGGGGCCCCGTGGGGCAGCACCCCGGCCCCACAGCCTGGCCGGGGGGGCTGGGAGCCTTAGCCAGGGGCTGGGAGCCGGGACTCCTGGGTTCTCTCCAGGCTCTGGGAGGGGAGTGGGAGCTGGTGGGTTAGAGGAGGAGGGGCTGGGGAGCCGGGACTCCTGGGTTCTCTCCCTGGCTCTGGGAGGGGAGTGGGAGCTAGTGGTTAGAGCAGGGGGGCTGGGAGCCAGGATTCCTGAATTCTGTTCATGATGCAGTGAGTCCCTCCCTCTCTTTGTGCCTCAGTTTCCCCCTCTGCCCAGTGGGGATTCTGATCCATGCGCTCCCGTGAGACTCAGTCAGTTGGGGCTTGTCCACCCAATGGCGTTAGTTCAGAATAGCGGGTGCACTTTAAATTCACACTCTACTTAATCCAAATGAACTCTGAAGTGTAGACAAGTCCTTAATACCCATGCAGAGCTTGGAGCTGCCCAGCACAGGGGGCAGTCATCACCCAGCGTGTCCGTCTCTCTGTCCGATCCCACTGTGGCGAGCCCCCCTTTGTCTCCAGCTGAAAATCTGTGGCACAACCAGTTTATGTAGGGCCTGCAGTAACACCCAGGTGCGGCTGAAGTGGCCAGCAGGAGGCGCACCAGCGCTCGGGGCTGCCGGGGCACTAGGTGGGACGCCCGGGGCTGTGGCCCCCAAGAGGGGGATGGGGGGCAGTGTGCGGGCAGGAGAACGTCTCTGGGGTTAGGGAGGATGAGTGCGACGGCCCCAGGCTGTAGGGGTGTGTGCTCCCCGGTGGGGCGGCCAATGGGCCCATGACACACGGAGCCGCATAGGGGCGCTGATGGTGCCCTGTCCCCTGGGAGCTGTCCCTGTCCCAGGCCCCGACAGCTCCATCTCCCATCCTGGGAGCCCCCCCCCACCCCCCCGTTTTGGAATCTGGCGTTTGCGCAGCCCTTGGCCCCTGGGCAGCTGGCAGAGGCCGCAGCAGCGAGCGGCCTGTTCCCTTATTTGGTCAGTGAAACCACCAACCAAAACCCCAAAGCCCCAGGAAAATATTCCCAGAGCCAGGACTGGCCAGCTGGAAAAATGCAGGGGCAGCGCCCTCTGCACACAGCTCCCAGCAGCTGGGACGAGACCCACCCGGGCACCCAGGGGGAGTGGCTGGGGCTGGCCCTCGCCCTCCCACCCCCAACAAACGGCCCTGCTCCATCTCAGCAGAGCCTGGCCCCACACTTGTCTGTACAGCCTGGCATCCCCACCCCCAGCCCAGGCCCGGCCCCATGGCTCCATCTAGCTCAGTCATCCCCTCCCCAACCTGGGCCAGACCCGGGGGCCCATCTAGCCCCGTATCCTGCTTCCTTCGAAGGCTCCCTCCCCTGCCACTGGCCAGTTGCCCAGGGCTGATCTCGGTGGGCGGGCAGGCCGTCCCCAGCATCCGCTCTCAGGCCCCTGCTGGGCGGGTGTCACGGGTGTCTCCAGCATGCTGTCCGACTGGCCTGTTCCCATGCACACCCCACTCCACTGTGTCAGGAGCCCACTGCCTCTTGGGGGGCTGGACCCAGCCGGGGTAGGGGAAACAAGAGGACCAAGATCCTTGGCACCCACACCCTCCCCCCAAGTGCCCACAGATGACCCTGCATGGTTCCATATATACATCATCCTGTATCCCTGCACACAACCCCCCCATCCCACAGACCCAGCCCCCATCTCAGCACACAGCCCCCCAGACTCCAGACCCAGCCCCCATCTCAGCACACAGC